TGATATTTACACGAATAAAGTCATCAACGTTTTCCTTCTTCACTTCTTCCAAGGGGACCGCTTCAGCCCATTTTGAGAAGTAGTCAGTCGCAGCCAAAATATAAAGATGACCACCCGAAGACTTTGTTAGAGGACCAACCACATCTAATCCCCAAGCATCAAAAGGCCATGAAGCGACAGTAGGATGCAACGGCTCAGGAGGTTGATGGATCAAATTTGCATGAAACTGACACGGTTGACATCTTTGGGCGTAATCCATACAATCTCTAACCATTGTCGGCCAGTTGTACCCCATTCTCTTAATTCGGAAGTGCAGCTTTGGACCAGACTGATGAGAGCCACATATGCCCGAGTGAGCTTCTTCCATGGCTTGAGCAGCTTCTTCATCGCCTAAGCATCTCAAGAACACTCCATCAAACAACCGTCTATACAAAACATTATTGAAATAAATGAAGCGAGGTGCACGACGTCGAATATCAACCCTTTGTCGTGGGTCGTTAGGCAATTTGTCATACTTTAAGTAATCCACGAGCGATTGGCGCCAATCTTCATTCTCAATTTCGAATACTTCAACAACATGAATTTCATCTTCATTCCAATCATCGTCGAAAATTGGAGGTATAACCCAACTTCTACAAATTTGCACTCGAGCCTTATCCTCGGGAAGAATGAGTGAAGAAGCGAGTTTTGCCAAAGCATCATCTTGTTTATTATTTTTTCTCGACACATGTTCGATCGTAACATCTCTAAGCCATCCCTTGAGCTTTTTCGCATATTCGACATACGAGAGCAACTCAGGCTTTTTTACATCGTACTCTCCAAGCAGTTGGTTTATACTAGCTTTGAATCGCCATAAACCCTCAGATGTAGTTGCTTCATGTCCACGGCCATCACCAACCCTAGAATTAGAGCTTGATACTCCGCAACGTTGTTTGAGCAATTTTCGATCAAAGTGAAGGAATACGGAAGCACTTCTCCATGGGATGTCACAAAGACGACTACAGCACCAGCTCCTTCTCTATGGGATGCTCCATCAAAGTACATCTTCCAAGGTGGAGTTATTTCAATGAGAAGAACATCTTCATCGGGTAGTTCATCGGACAACTCCCACTCAGCAGGAATAGGGTGATCAGCTAAGAAGTCCGCCAGGACTTGTCCTTTTACAGCCTTTTGAGGGATGTAGACAATTTCAAACTGTTGAAGTTGAAGATACCACCTAGCTAAACGGTCTGAGAGGACGGGTCTTGTCATGACATATTTCAAAGGATTTGCCCTTGAAACAAGACGAACCGTATGAGCTTGAAAATAATGCTTCAACTTTTGAATTGCAAAGATCAATGCCAAACATATTTTCTCAATCGGTGAATAGTTCAGCTCGTTCGGCGTCATCGTTCTGCTCAAATAATATAATGCACTCTCATTTCCATCGTCATTTTCTTGAGCCAACAAGCTCCAACAGAGCGTTCTTGTGCCGCTATGTAGAGGATAAGAGGACGACCAGACACTGATGCAACTAACACGGGAGACTTCATCAGATATGCCTTTATGATTTCGAAAGCATTTGTACAAGATTGATCCCACTCAAAAGGAAAACCTTTCTTCATTAAATGACTAAAAGGTTGGCATCGTCCGGCTAGATTTGAAATGAACCTTCGATGATACGCCAACTTTCCTTGCAGACTTTTAAGCTCGTGAATGTTGCGAGGCTCGGGCATTCTTAGTATCGCGTCGACTTTTTCTTGCTCGATCTCTATTCCACGGTGACGAACAATGAACCCAAGAAACTTCCCCGACTTGACACCAAATGCACACTTCAGCGGATTCATCTTGAGTTGATATCTTCTTAGGCATTCAAAAACCATCCTTAAATCTTGTAAGTGGTCTTCTCGCTTCTTCGACTTTACCACCACATCATCAACATAGCATTCGATGTTCTTGTGGAGTATGTCATCAAACACTTTTTGCATTGCCCTTTGATATGTAGCTCCAACGTTCTTCAAGCCGAATGGCATCACCTTGTAGCAGTATATACCCTTTGGAGTGCGAAATGCCGTCAACTCTTCGTCTTTTAGAGACATGCGTATTTGATTGTATCCTGACGAACCATCCATAAAAGACAACGCTTCGTGTCCAGTCGTAGCATCAATCATAAGATCAGTTATAGGCAACGGGAAGTCGTCCTTAGGACACGCCTCGTTAAGGTCTCGAAAATCCACGCACACTCGAATTTGGCCATTTTTCTTCCTGACCGGAACAATGCTCGAGATCCACGTAGGATATTTGACTTCACGAATGAATCCAACTTCAATGAGTTTATTTACTTCAACCTCGATCAATGGGATCAACTCACGTCGGAATCTCCGTTGTGCTTGTTTAACAGGTTTTGCCCCCTTTCTCACGGACAAGTTATGCACCGCCACCTTTGGGTCTAGTCCAGGCATCTCCTTATATGACCATGCGAATACATCCTTAAACTCACCAAGAAGCTCTATGTAGGCCTTCTCTTCATCTACAGTTAGCAAGGCACTGATATACGTCGGGCGAGGATCGTCAACATCACCCAAGTTGATTTCTTTTAGTTCATCGACCGTGGCCTTAACACCTTCTTCAAGCTCGGGAGGTGCGTCTTCAGCATCTTCCTCCTCTATTGGAGCATCCTCGCATATAGTGATATGGTTCACATGTGCAATATCTTCGGTCGGCTCACCAAGAGCTTTGAAGTCGATACATGCTCGCACCCGTCTATTTCTTCCCGTGACAAATCGTGTTTGCACATTTTCATCAACTCCAGCGATATACCTTTTTCTCACCAAGTAAGTTATCTTCCGGTAAAGAGAACGTTCATCATTTCGATGAGTTGTGAGAGTACCGCAAGCATAGTAAGACAAAGCGACACTTTCTCTATCATCATCTTCATCATCATGTACTCTTGTATGAACGATCGTGTGCATTTTTGCTTTTAAAACTTCACCACGTGATATGATCAAGGTAGTTTGACATTTCATACGTGACGGAATTAGACTTCTAAGCTTTGGAGCCGGGCCTACACCTTTTTCTTGTCTTAAAGGCTTTGACTGCTTGAAGGATCCCAGTCGTTGAAACACAGATTGTTTGCCTTTTGACTCCCGCACCGGACCGAGTCTTTGAAACACCGACACTCTTTTCTCTTTAATTTTCACCGTCAGAAGACGAGAACTCTCCTTCCGATACATGGTTGGCGTTTGCTCTCTTGATGGCGATTCTAATTGGACTCAATGCCACATATCCAAGACCTGCCCTGTTGTGCTTTTGCTCTTGAGGTATGAGCTTTCCCAAAGAGCGACTTTCATTGGGATTGTATCCTGCTTTGACGAGAAGCTTGTAGGCTTTTGGATCAAAACACTTAGAGTTCTTCAATCCTTCACCATGCTCCGTCACAACTCCTTTTCTTGGACGAACAAAGTTCATGGGTGGTTGGGAGATAGGTTTCTCGTCATCTACCTTCGGCAGCGGCAATACTAACTCTTTTAAAGAGTTTTCTACCTCTTCAATATTTGATTCATCACTTTTAGACCCTTTATGCTGCTTAGACGAGACTTTCTCAACTGGTTTTGCATCATTGAAATAGTATTTGGCATCAGCGAAATGAGTTTCAGCCTCCGTAAAAGGTTTATCATCACCAAGCACAGTCTTCACAACGCCATTTTTGCAATATTTGAAGCATTGATGCCATGTGGACGGAACCACGCCATTCTCATGAAGCCATGGACGACCAAGAAGCATATTGTAAGAAGTTTTTGCATCGATGACATGAAACATAGCAGTTGATTCCATATCTTCCATCAGCAACCTCAACCTTATGATGCCAAGAGCTCTTTGCCCCCCTTGGTTAAAGCCTTGAATCATCAGTCGACTATTACCAAGTTCTTCGGTGGTCATTCCCAACTCTTTTAGTGTGCGAAGAGGCAAGATGTTGACTGCTGATCCTCCACCAATCAATATTCGATTAACCTTTTGCTCTTGCACATAACCGGCCACGAACAAGGGTCTGTTGTGAGGCTTAGAACCAAGCAGCAGATCTTCATCAGTAAAGACCATCATGGAATCGTTATCAACATGGTGATTCTCAACCTCAGGCAAATTGTTTTCTTCCAGCGGAGCTTCGTGCTTATTTGTCATGTTGCAAGCTTCGCTTATATGATTAGCAGTTGCACTACTTTCTTCTAGTCAAATTCTTCCTTGGTGTGTCAGCTGCATAACCTTGTCCTTGAATACGAAGCAGTCATGAATTGGATGCCCTACAAGACGGTGGTATTTGCAGTATTTTGGGTCATTCACCCTACCAGCTTCTTCGGGACACTTCATCTCGGGTAACTCAATGAGTTTTGCTTCCATCAGATCGTCAAATATGCCAGAGACATCTGAATCAAGGAACGGGTATTGCATTGCTTGCATTTCCTTCAGAGTCAATCTTCTTTGTTCAGTTTCCTTGGGGACATCCTTATTTTCGATGGCTTTATCAGCAGCTTTTCATTTGAACTTGACAGGCATAGCATTGATCGTCATGGACTCCTTATTTTGAGATTTTGAGAAAAATTTGCCCCCTTTCCTTTGCTCATATCTATCCTTGGAGCTTTGGGGTTCTTGGATTGGAGGACCATTAGCTCCGCTTGCG